AGCCTCCTCTTTCGCCACCTTCAACTCATACTGATACTGTGCCGCCCTTTTATCCGACGACATAACCCTCATTGCAGCATCCTTAGACATGTTGAATAGTACATCAGCATAAGCCTTCTTTAATGCTGCCAACTTCTGAACTCAAAGACCAACACCAAAACAATGGAATTCATAAACAAATATAGAAAAGAAAAGAAAAAAACAACCCTTTTACATATAGATCACGACGACACAAGAACCGTCAACATACATAGCTTAAAGATTATAAGATACCAGCAGAAAGAATCAACATTTACCCCAATTTCACAATTTTCAGATTAATAGCTACTGGATTTAACTCGTAAAATGAAAAACACACACACACGATACACAAAAGACAGAAAAACATGTCCGCGCCATGAGACAGAAATCAAGACTAATACACCTAAAATCAAACAACATAAACCAAACAAAACCATATGGATTTGGTGATTTTTTTCGAAACAGACACAAACAAAAAGAAAATACTACATAACACCTCCGAGAGTCGAACCAAAACTACAAACAAAATCAAAAAAAGAAGAGGATCGAATTCCAAAGCAACACGCCAACAAATGCAGGAACAAAAGTAACCAAAAACAAGGGTAACGAAGTGGTTACAGGACATGAATTAGGTAGTTGACATATACTGTCGGAAAAAAAAAAAGGAAAAAGAAAAAGAAATGGCTGCGGCGCCGTGGAGAAGGCGGTGTACGGCGTCTGAGAACTGCGGAAGAAGTGGCGGAATTTTACCTCATCGGCGTCCATTTTCTCTGAAAAGTTTTCCGAACGAGCTTTTTTGTGTTAGTTGAGGTTTTCGGTCCGAAGTTTGTTTTTTATTAATAACTTAGTTTTCCTCAGCAAGTGCTGTCTGTTATGAACTGAATCTTTTAGGCCGTGAAAGTACCGAATTGACCCTAGATGAACGATTTAACTGCTGGAATACCATGGAAGCTGACGATCGGTGCGCTTCGTATTTTGGGCTCCGTGGGGTGTGTGCCATTGGGCTGGGCCCATATTTGGTTCGGATGTATGACGTGGTACTTCCTTCAAATAAACACACTTTTTGTAGCTAGTAGTTGCATTCTCGGTTCTATAGTCATGTGTATGACTATTTTATAAATTTTATATTAGATATGTCATTCTCTAAAAATCCTCTTCTCAAAATATTCTTGCATTGAGCTTTTTTCTAAATTAGTATTTTTAGTCCAAATAATAATAATAATATAAGCTTTTACCAACTAAACGAATAAGCGAATTTGACAGGCTAAACATATAAATGAGGTTCAATTCACGATTGTTACATCTCAAATAGTTTTGGAAGGAAAGAGAAAAGAAATACGCATTTTTATATTTCTGTCGGGTTCTATGAGATGATAAGATAAAATTTAGTTAACCGCGTAATAAATGGAATAAATAGAAAAATTTTAAAATTATTTTAAGGTGAATGAGATATTAATTTTAAATGTACATATAAAAAATATATGTTTGACACAAAAAAAAAATGAATTTATGTATTTCAGAGATTATTGAACTTGAAAGCGTTCACTTTTTGACAAATATTCGAGTAAGTAAACGAGTGATAGTCGTGCAGTAAACATGTTAAATTCGAACAAAATTAGGTGCGCGCGAGTAGGACTTAATCTAACACCTTTTGGTGCGTGAACGTGCACGAGTGAAAATAAAACGAGTGAAAATAAAAGTATAGGGACTGACAAGGATAGTGAATCGTGGATTGAAGATTTATAAAAAAATCACGTTTCAAATATTCATATCGATTACAAAAATAACTGTATAATGGTTAAAATTGATTGTCTTAGCATTAATGATTTTTGAATAATATTTTATTTATTTAATCTTAGTTACAAGTTGTTGTTAATCAGTTACCTAACCTAGCCACAAGCAATTAACTAATTAAGGTGGTTCTAAATTTCTGATGTTAGAAAATAAATAGAAGTCCCAAATTTTATTATTATTATTATTTATCTTCCTCTTACTTATAAGAAAACATGCATGCCCTTTGTGAGGTTGACACGTGGCCACTTTCCTTGCCCTCTATATGTATCAAAACGACGCTGTTTGGTGCTCTTATTTTTTTTTTAACCAAGCGGGCACAAGACGGCGTTGTTTTGAGCTTCACAGATCACAGTTGACTAATTTGCTCCCCTTCATTGTTACTATTGGAGGTCATTATAGTAATTCTGCTATGACATTGATTGACATCAGTTTTGCTTTCTTTGCACGCCATTTTGCACGACACTATTGTCCTTTCTCATCTCTCTCATTTCTCTGATAAGTGATATCCCACAATATTTTTCTATCGATTGGTCATGCTCCTGAGCGGCGAAAACTGGTGCCTTTTGGGCGGATGGTGGCAGCGCAACTACACGACGCAACGGCAGGCGGCTTGGATGGACGGAGGCGGCATCACATATATGTTGTCGCCCGACAGCGCGATGACACGACGCGCCAACATCACGGATATATGGCGGGCCAACGGAGAGTAGCGAGCGGCGCTGAATCTATCGGTGAATTCCACTGGCCCGTTCTCCAACAACTGAGCTTCTTTTACCACTAAAGGTAAACCTAAAATTTCATCGCCGCTCGAAAACCTAACGCCAACGCCTTTTTATTTCGACTCCTCCAGTTTCTTTGTTGAATGAAGTGATTTTGGTAACCTAAATTTTATAGTTAGTGTTTGGAGGTTCTGTATTGGAAATTGGTTTCTTGAGAATGTTTTGCTGCAAGTTCTAAGTCTTAGGTGGTTGTTATAATTGACTACCTTTGTGTTGTGAGGAAAATGGTGAACAAGGCAGTCATATAATTTCCCACCAAAATATGGAGGCATAGATATAATGGTAAAGTGACCATAGTGACCAAACTTATCCTCCTTTATCATATTCCAAGTTGATACGCATTATCTGTAATTAAATTTGTAGGTACACAATCGGAAGTGAATTTCAACGCGGTGCAACTCTGTGGAAGATGCAGAAAAAGTCATCGGTACCAACTACTTTTGGACCAAAAATATGATCAAGGCCATGATTCATGTATTCAGACCTTCGATGCAGGTGCACGTATTGTTAATGTCAGTTTTCGATTGGGAAGACTAAACGGGCGACGAAATGTAAGTAAAAAAGTATCATTTTATTTATTAAATAGTTGTAGGAGAATGTACAAAAAATCATGATTTTCTACTAACCCAAACTGTGCGGAGAGTTGAAAACTAAGGAGGTGAAGCTTTTGAGGTTGAATAATGCACTTTTAAGCATGGGTTCATCTAAAATGGTGAGGTGCGGACGAGATGAATTTAAATAACTTGGGCCTAAAGACGTCCTCTACATCCATGCCCCAGACTCCCAGTACAGAAGACGAGAATTTGCAGTCGCCCAACCTCAAAAGCTTCACCTTTAGCGATCTTAGGTTCGCCACAAAAAATTTCTGACCAGACAACATCTTGGGAGAGTGAGGTTTCGGCTCCATTTACAAAGGGTGGTTGACGAGAATACACTGGCGGCGTCGCTGCCAAGCTTGAGTATGGGCTGCTCCAGGACAGGTGGCAGGGGCACTAAGAATGCCTGGTGCGTAAAAAATTCCGACTTCATTAAGTCAATGAAAAAATGAAGTTGTTATAGTCATTGATTGCTTGTAGTTAAGAGTGATTACTGATTAGGATATTATGGTATATAATAGATAATTCTTCCCTTGTTTATTATGAAATTTTCTTAAGTGTCATTTTTGTTTACTGTATAGTTGTGCCTACATGAAACAGCGCATCACAAGTGTTGAGGTTCTTGGAAATGATTGGTTCGAGAAAGGTTACAAACTGCATGTTTTTAACACGAGGAAGTCACTCTCGATGATGTTAGTTCTATTTTCAATGAATCAACGGTTGGTATTCTGATCTCCCTGCTGCTCTATAAATTTTTGTTTTAATATTCCCTTAAAAATTAGTTTTGTAAACGCCGATTATTATTTTTATTATTCTTTATTAATTATCTTCTTTAATTTAGAATTGTGTAGGACTCCAAATTTGGTTGTAGAGAGGCTGGAGGAAAGGACTGCCACAGTACAGGTGGCAATGAATGCTTTGAGCTTATTTCTACCTCATAGGGTCTCAATCTCAGTTACCTCTTTGAAAAACAAATGGTGCATCACTAAGAAGTTGTGTATCAATTGGCTTATTGTGATTCCGAGACATCTCAAATGTGCTAACTTTTTTCTCTCTTACGTTAGGGCCGCGTGAAGCGTGTAACCAGATTCACATGAAAAAAGTCCCGCTAATGACATCATCTCCAAAATCGAGCAACCTGCTGCACCAATGGGTTTTGATGTGAAGAAGAACAACTACAAGGTATAATGCCTTTTCCTCTAATTCTCAATATTATTTATAGTTCTGGCTATACATACCTTTTAAATCCTTATATTAGTGTGCATTATTGTCATGAAGAACGATATATTCTAATTTGTCTTTTCGATTTCGGTTTTCTGAAACAAATCCCTTATTCTTCTTCTTCCCAAATAACAATGATGAT